CCCCCCCCCTCTTCCCCACCGGGGCTGGTTCGGTTCTCCGGGGACCTGGGGGCCGCTGGGGCGCACCGCGGGCGGCGTAGCGTGGGCTGCGCCTGGGCTGCGCCTGGGCTGCGCGGAGGCTCGAGTAGTAGCGAGTTGCACGCTCACGCTCATCCTGGGGGCGGAGGCGGGGGCGCGCCTGGGCGGGACCTGGGCGGGACCCTCTGCTCGCCGCACTGATGGCGAGATCCCGCGCGCAGCCGCAGCATGCCGTCGAGGCAGCAGGCAGCCGTCGTGGCGCGCGATTTGTGTATGAAAGAAACCGCTGATGCGTGCAGAGTGGCTGCCACCACACAGCGACTCTCTCTCTCTCTCTCTCTCTCTCTCTCTCTCTCTCTCTCTTGCTCCTCGCTCTCTCCCTCTCGCTATCCCTGTCTCTGCCTCTCTCTCGCTCCTCGCTCACTCTCACTCTCTCGCTCTCTCCATCTCCCGGCACCTCCCCTTATTCGCTGCTCAGACACAAACTATGGCGCCTGCTTGTTTGTTAATGCGCCTCTGCGGGAACGTGTCGTCTTGTCATCGGATGACTGTGTTGTTGTGGCGCGCAGAGAGATACGTTGTTCGCGCCGCTTCGAAAACTCGCTCCTTCTCGGGGAGGATGGGGCGCTCGGGCGGGTGGGGAGCGTCTAATACTAGAAATGGTAGTGTGTGCCTCTTCCGACGTGACGCCGGGCCCCCTCTCCCGAGCGTCGTCCTCCTCCAGCAGAGCAGCATCCCGCCTGGTCCTGAGCGCTGATAACGGCTGCTGATAAGCGGGTCGGACACAGATATTGACAACATGTCGTCGGCCGCCTTATCACGGCCCGGCAACGGCACAGACAGGCAATCTCAACTGCAGCCCCGGCGGCCGGACGGGCGGGGCGTGGCGGGGCGTGGCGGGACTCGCACAGGACGACCGAGTAGTGTGTGCGGCCGATATGCCGCAAGTGGGTCGGTAGTGTCACCTGTCCCTCGCGTCGCCCGAAAAACTTCCGGCTCGATCCAGTGGAGCCTCACATTTTTACTGTGTTGAAAGCCCCCAAAATTTGTGCTACTTATTAAAAATGAAGGAAAATACATTCAGAAAATTAATGTGGTTTTTTTTCCGGGTATTTGGATTGGGAACAGTGAAAACCCTTGGTTTTATATCACTGTTAAAATGCAAGCTCTCTTAGCGCCCGACGGGTAGGCAAAATAATGTCTGCACTGCAGGCGCGTACTGCTGGGCGGCCTATCCTGAGTCTCGCAGGCGCCGAGCTCCAC